ATACAGGGCTTTAGAATATCGATACAGTATCAGGAAATGAAATATCACAATATTTCAGTGTATCGATATTTTCTTACACCCCTAGTAGAAAGACAGATTACATCACAGTCAAAACCAGAGAAAAAACAAAAGTCGTCATTTWWAAAAAAAAMAACTTTTGTACCATCCAGTGTCATAAATAGTTGCAGTTCTTTCATACACTAGCAGTCACATTCACATCTGCTAGAAATTTTGAGTTTCCTTTGAGTTTTCCCTCATGTTAACTCTCACATACACACCCAGCTGTCATATCTGCTGTCTTCCTGCTTGGAGTTTCTTTTTTTCTCTCTTTAGCTGAGGTTGTTTTCATGCCTTGTTTTCTTTTTTGTTTTTATGATTTTACACAGCTGTTCTTTGTCTTTATGTTAGAACAGTTTGTACGGTTTGCAAAACTGATTCGTAAATCACTTTATAAGCTTTTAGTCGTTGCAGAAGTTGTATTTGCTCCTCAGAGAAAAGATCCGAACATGTCCTCAGTTGTGTCCGAGCAGAATGGAGACGGTGCCATTGTTGATGACAGAAAACCTAAAAGAAAATAGTTGCAGAAGATGTGACCGAAGAAGAAAGGAGAACTTTCCAGTGGCCTCATTTTTTCCATGTAAAGTCATTCCTGGACAGGACGCACAAATTATACAGTCGTGTGTTTGAGGCAAAAGGCAARACAGTTGTCACGTTTAGGATTTAAAAGTCATATTTAAGTTGGGACATGTTTTAGGTGAAGGAGTGACAATGGAGAGGACAAAAAAACTAGAAAAGCTGGGAGTTACTGAGTCTGAAAAACAGAACTGACTGTTCCTGAAGATTTGTGTGAAGCAGACGACGTGAATAAGTTGTAATCTGATCTCAGCTGTGGTGAGCTCATGCAGGAGGCCTGCCAGCAGCCTCAGAAAGAGGAGTCCACCCATCTGCCTTTAACGCTACTTCAGACCTGCCAGCTTAATGTCATACTGTATACTCTTTCAGGAGTACTACAGAGCATACTGCTGCTGAAACAGGAATCACTGAGGAGAGGAGAACAAACTGAATGTAATTTAATAAGTTTACATGGTTTAACTGTAGAAGTTTTGATCCTTTGTATGTTTGTATAACTGCGAGATAAGGGTATTTTCAGAAGGAAAGTCACCTTTTACTCAGATAAACAAATAAACACTTGATAAAAATGTTCATTGAAAAGTTTTTACACTCAGATCAAAATTTTATAAAATGTAACAAGGTTATAACCTTTTTGATGGGGAGGGGGGCAGGTATGCAAAATCAACTCTTTTCATAACAGCTGAATATTGTAGAACTATGTGCCTGGAAAATACATACCCCCCCCTCCCCCCCCAAAAAAAAAAAAAAAAAAAAAGAAAAACATTGTTTCTGGGTATTTTATTTTTAAGGCTTTCTGTAGAATGGTTATGAACAATGAATATCTTACCTGTTGTGGATGAATATCTTGTTTATCAGAATAGAGTTTTTTGAAATGTTGGCCAGACTTTCCTACGTTTTTCTTTTCTATTGACACATTTTTCTCTTCTCTTACAGTCACCAACCCTGCACAGATGGACCTGAGATAATTGAAGTTCTACCTTCAGCTGGTCCTGGAGCCTCCAACATTCGACCAGAATGACTGATCTCACTGGGCTGAGCTCTGGAGGAGAAGGGGCAGGCGTGGCCGATGTGGACGCCTGCAGTTTGGAAATCGAGCGACGATATGAGGTCATTCCCACCRTCATCTGCTCCATGTGTTGCCTCTTTGGCATCATCTACTGCTTCTTTGGTGAGGACCCCTTTCAGCTCGCACATGTCGACGCATCAAGCCCCCCCACCCCTTCAGCTCCTGATTTCTCCCTCTCCTGCACTTTCAGGTTATCGATGTTTCAAGGCGGTCATGTTCCTGTCTGGTCTGATGTTTGGCTCGGTCATCATCTTCCTGCTGTGCCACAAGGAGCATGTTTTCGACACGCAGCTGAGCGTGGAAGCCAGCGCGGGCATCGGCCTCGGCATCGGCCTCCTGTGCGGCCTCGTCACCATGCTGGTGCGAAGCGTGGGCCTCTTCATGACGGGCCTGCTCCTGGGCCTCCTCCTGGCCCTGGCTGGCCTGCTGGTGGCTCACCAGTTCTACACCCCGACCACAGTGTGGGTGCCGCTGGGCGCTCTTCTGGGCGCAGGCATGCTGTTGGCCGTGCTGACTCTGCAGTGGCAGAAGACGTTCACGGTGCTCTCCACGGCCGTGTTCGGAGCGGCTATCATGACTGTGTGTGCCGATTACTTTGTGGAGATGCTGGCTTTGGCCTCACACGTGTATGACTGCTTACGCCTCAAACCTGGGTCGGCRCTCTGCTGGTACAGCTGGGTCATTCTAGGCATCTGGCCCGCCCTTAGCCTCATTGGAGTTCTGGTCCAGTGGAAACTGACGGATGGCAGCTTCTCACATACTGAAGGTAAGAATAAAACAAAATAAACTCTCCAAGCTACTGACACATAATCATAGTTTGAAGCGGATAATGATCCAACACATGCACCATGAGCTGGTCGACAGAAGCAGTGTGGTGGGCCTCTGTATCTGGGTCAGTTATGGTTATTGATGAAGTACTGAGAGACAGATTCATTGTGAAGTGTACAGAAATACACAGTGTGATCACATTGACCCACATGCAGCAGATCTRATTGGATGGCTCTTCTTGGTACAGATGGACACAAACACAAAACATGCTCAGAAAGTAACCCAGGAGTTTAAAAGACTGAGCAGCACACATGGATAAAACTGGCATTAACCAAATGGCTGTTGACAATTCCACTGCACTAAGACATAAATACATTTGAGTGTTTTTTCATGACATCTTGTGCCACACACTGCTGCTTTATGACGCATCCTGAGGCTTTAGCAGAGTTGGAACAAAGCAACACGACTGGGTAAAATCAGGACATTTTTTGGAGTAACATTTTGTGCTTTTGAAGGWTCTGAGTGTGGTTTGATTCTTGGATGAGTGCAAAGATTGCAGTGACATAAGGAGAACATAATGTGATCATAAATCTTTAATATGATTATGCTCTGTTGCTTCGGAGCAGGAGCATGACTAAAACCTCCCTTTCTGAAACGTCTACAAAGACCAGAAAAGGAAAATACCTGTTTTTATTTATTAAAACATCAATATTGTCTTAATATTTCCAGCGAGTTAAAATAACCAGTGAAGATGTATTTTTGTTGCTGAAAGATGAATTTAAAAAAACAACAAAAAAAGGAAAGAATAAAACTCAATCTATGATGAAATTTGTGCTTATGTGTTGTGCAATTATAATAAAAACATTTTAAGTGTGTATAATCTTTAAACTATCTCTTTTATTTGTAAAGCTTAAATTCTACACCTAATCTTGTATTTTAAAACATACATATTTAAAAACTGGGTGTAGAAGCGCTGGTTGGACGTATATACTAAACATCTAGGAACTGATTATTTTTATTCCTTATGAGCTGTAGATGTTGCCTTTTTTCTCAGTTATTCTCCTTGAAAACAGTTTGTTTTGGGTCCTGGTTGCAGCAGAAAATGTGCTTTCTGATTAAGAAGGGTTTTACTAAAAGTAAGTAAGAAGGATGTGCTGCAGCTTGAGAGTAAAGCTTGTTGAATAAGCAGGAACACGTGTACAGCTTGTAAATGCAGCACAGAAATCTTTAGTGAGTTTGAAGAATAGGACACGTTAATGACTTGCACCATTTTTAGCCTTTTGCTTACACTTTAAATGTGTATCCCCTCCCTCTCACAGTTGTCCTCAGCCGGAGACAGAAGAGGGTCCAGCTGATGCGGATTCGTGAGAAGGACGCCAAGAAACGACAGCAGGCAGGTGGGCAGGAAGGCACATACCGTCGTAAACCCACCCCAGTCAAACGCTACGCCGGGGACCTACTGGCACCGGTCAGTGTCACCCGACATGGCGTGTGCTGTAGTGACTCGTAGTTTTATGATTTCAAAGTCAGTTCTGTCTGCGAGTTGGACTAAAAGCTCAAAAACGGCTGTTTTTGTCTCATCTCTCTCTCCCCGTGTCCTTCCTTCCTATCCTTCCTTCCTTCCTTTCAGAGCTACCTACAAAGTCTGCGAGACAGGCAGATGGGAACAGGCACTTCCCTTAGCAGCCTTGGCACCGCCAACCAAACCGTGATCGACGTGGACTACGACACCAGCTCCACGGTTCCCCTCACAGCCACAACGCCAGTCGTCAGGGTCTGAGCAGCACAGAGACCAGAGGAGGCCCCGCCCATCACGCCGTCTTCCTAACGTAGAGGATCTTCTCCAGGAGGATTAGTTACACGTCTTCCTAACGTAGAGTAGAGAACTCATCCGCTGCACTGGTCTCTGAGGGTTTTATTGCTGTGAAGTAGATTTGAAGCGAGGATGTCTTTTCTTTTAAAACAAAATGCTGCTCTCTGCAGGAAAACAGTCGGCGTTAAACTCCTGTTTGACTCTAAAACCACTGCAGCCACTGTTTCCTTAGAGAAATCCTGTATAGCTAGCAAAATGCGCCCATTCATTTCCATTCATCGTGTATTAAATACATAATAGTTGTTTGATGTTACGTGTACTGTACTTCAAGAATTAGCCATGAAGGGTTGTACTTTCACTTATTTCTAGCTGTATGGGCATTGGATTTGAGGAAAGTTTAAAGTGATTTTTATTTTAATGCGTCTGAGTCATATATTGCATGTGGCTTAAAAGGCCTCATCAGGTTCTGTTAGAGCACCACTTTAGAGCTGTTTTACCACATCTGAGTACAATCAGTGAAGAATTTAGTGTGAATGCTTGTGAAGTAATGTTTTTTTTATATAATTTATGTAATAACTTAGTACCTGGTAGTGTTTTTTTTTTTTTAATCAAGGACAAAATCAAAGCATGTTTGTTTTTGCCTTTTCTGTGTCTGAATATTTTTCGGTTTTACCAGAACAGCACACCTGTAAATACCTGTTGATAGGATTTTTCATAATTGAAATGAATGTGTTTAATAAAAAAAGCAGTTTTAACTTATCAAACGAGTCAATTATGTAGCACTGTTTGTGTCCACAGGCTCTTGGCAACACAAGGCTTACTCAGAGGGTTTTTCATAAAACAGGGTCATGAGGAGGATTTCCTGACCTCTGATTGGTTGTTGCTGTGGTGCCTCTAAACAAGGTTTTTTTTTTAATGAAGACAGCTCGATGCAGAACAGATCATCCTTTCTTCGCTGTGAATGTTGGACATATTTTCAGGTTATTTTAAGCAAAAACCAAAGAAGGCAATTTAAATGTTTAAATCATTTTTTATATAAAAGTCATTTTCACTATAAACCAGAATACAAAAATCTACATCACAGGATCTCAGACACTCCTATCAACAAACATGAGCGTAAGAGTGTTGCAACACATAACCAAACACACATGTGAACAAGAGGAATTGGATTTCTTTTCAAGGTTATATAAAGTTTGCGTAATTCTTCAATCCTAAACAAATTTTTTTTAAAAACAGTAAACAATAAAGATAATAATAAACATCAGCCTGCTTTGAAATGTAGCTTGGTTTTAATCAGATCCAGTGAAATCAAACCAGTGATAATTCTCCAATCACTGCATATGTTAATGTCTGTGAACCTGCTGGCCCCTGTTGGTGGAGCTCTAACATCGCATCCAGCGCTCCTTCTTGCTCAGAGGGTAACCTCTGTCCACTTTCAGCAGCAGCTGGTTCACTCGCCAGTACTCGTCCCCCTTAAAGAAAAAGATCTTGCCGTTGGTCCAGGTGAAGGCCGCGTCAGGGGAGGAGGGCACTCCGGTGAAGAGCATGTTGAGCGGTTTGGGGTAGAAAGTCAAACTATTGTAGCTCAGCTCATCAAACTGCCAGTACTCTGACCCCTGCACACAGGAAGGAAGGAGAAAAGTGAGGCGAAACCTTGATGCCAGGGATTTAAATTATTTTTGTTCAAACCATAAGACTAAAAATCACTCTCAGCTAGTACTAAATCAGATTTTATCTCAATATCTGAAAAAAAAAGACTGAACTGAAGCTCTTTATTGTTTTTTCTAATGTAACAGCTGTTGTGCACGCCTCAAATTCAATTCAAATATTTTGCTAACAAATAAACAACAATGTCAAAGTTTTAAGTAAAAATCTCATACAATGTCTAAAGCTCAGAGTATGTGTTGGGGATGATTCTCAGCTACTACCATAACAAGTTTTAGTTCAATATCTGTAAAATTAACTGAATTATAGACATTTTTGTGTTTTCTATGGTTAGTTGGRAATGTCAGACAATTTAAATCAAGTTGGCTAAAAAATGTAATCAGTTGTAGCTTGAAGTCTAGTTATTATGCTTTATAAGTTTTATTAAAATYTGTCCAGTAGGTCATGAGATATTTTGCTRACAGACAAATASAGTTGTCTYCAGTGAATAAAGGCAGACTTTGAAAAAGATATTATGCAATCTTTTAGTGCTTGGAGTCTGTGTTGATCAGTCTCAGCAACTCCCATACCAAATCTGAGTCCAGAATCTGTATAATTGAATTATTGGCATGTTTGTGTTTTTTAAGATCAGTTGGTTGTGACAAMCATTTTAAAKCAASTTAMCTCCAWAAGTTAATCATTTGTAGTTTGAAGTCTGTTGATAACATTTGTAAGTTTCATTATATTCTGTCCAGTGGATCATGAGATATTTTGCTAACAGRCAAACAGAGCTGTCTCCAGTGATTAAAGGCAGGATTTAAAACAAAGATCTYGTGCGATCTTTTAGCATTCAGAGTGTGTGTTGTGGYTCAGTCTCAGCTACTACCACACCAAGTTTTAGGTCCACATCTGTAAAATTAGTTGAGTTGTAGCCATTTTTGTGTTTGCTAMGGTTGATTAGCTGTGGCAGCCATCTTGAATTGGGTTGATCAACTGATATTAGTTAAATGCTTAATAAGGCATTTTGCTAACAGAAAAAAACTAATTGCCAGCCGTCCACTTTTCAGATGTCAGTAAAGTAAAAGTCTAAACTGCTCCTCTTTGTTTACCTTTATGAAGACCAGCTTCTTGTTCTTCTGCAGGTACAAGGCTGCATCGACATCAGCAGGGACTCGCTTCACCTGCTTGGGGTAGCCGTAGTCAAGCGTGAACCTTGTGTACCTCCACACTTCACTGCCTGTGTCCAGAAGAAGTTCAAACGTTTAGTCTTAAGAGGAGACAGCTGCAGATCAGAAACCCTGCACAAGCTCAGCTGTATAGAAAAAAAAGCAAAAAATAAAAAAACCACCAAGGCTACCTTTAAGAAAATAGGTCTTGTTGGTTCTCTGAGAGTGGACGGCAGCGTTCAGGTTTCCAGGGAGTTCCCTCCACAGTCTGTTGATCTTTATAGGTGTGTTATGGCCCAGGTCTGTGATGGTCCAGACATATTCACCACTGAAAGCAAAGGTTTTATCCCATGGACCTGAACGAGCACGTCGGGATTAAAATTAGAAAGTTTCAAGAGAAGCAAAAGACAAAAAAAGAAAAGTCAACAAATAACTAAAAGAAAAACGCTGGTACAAGTTAACAGTCACCCAGCATGATGGCGTCCAGTGTGGCAGTGCAGGGATCAGGGATCTTGTCACTTCCAAAGCTGTTCTGTGTTGGGATCAGGTTGTCTGGAGGAGCTGCACTGTCTGGAGAGCTGCGCTTGCCTAAAACAAGAAAATTAAAACAATGACAATTCAATTTTAAGAAATGCTTTCCTATTTTTATTCATTTGATCTTTGAAGACTGGGAGCCAGATAGTTACAACAGATTAATTGCACGTTTTTTATTACTGCCGCAGGAACAAATGGGGTGGGGGGGGGGAACTAGTGATGTGACGCTCGTGCTCACTGCTGCCGACAGAAAAGCTCTGCAGAGGGTGGTGAAGGCTGCACAGAGAACCATCAGACACAGCCTCCCCACCATCACAGACATTTACGGCTCCAGATGCAGGAAGACCACCTGCATCGTGAAAGACCCCACTCGTCCTGCACATGTTAAGTCTCCTTGAATGAACAATCTGAATGTTTTGAACGGCTCCTCAAAATGAACAGACAGACARACAGACATCCCTTTTCTTCTCCTGCTTACAGTTTCTGCCTGCATTCCTCAGAGGCAGACACTCACATGCTCCTTTGCTTTGCAACTGAGACAAAGAAGAACAAAGTGGAGTGGGGGTCGGTCGTAGGTAGTGACATAAGCTGTTTGGAGTGACTATTATTGCAAACATTAAACGGTTCTTTGAAATGTAGGATCCACATCCAGCTCCCTTCAAAAAGCTGTAAATCCCATCTTGGAAGAAAATCTATGTTGTCCAGAATGGGTTTTCCCTGTAATTCATGTTTAACACTTTTCCGTTTTATCTGTGTTGGCGGATATTTAGGTGACTAAGATTTACCCACAGACCTCCTTGCTCAGACCCCTCGTTGTGTTTTTAAACATACTGAGTCAGCTTCAGTGTGACTCGCTGCTTGAAGGAGACCACTTCAGCTTTCATGAACAGTAACCCACCAAAAGTTGGAAAAAAAATCTTGCATTTGAATCCTCATGTATATAAAAAGGTCCAGAAGACCTAATTTAAGAGTTATCATTCAGCAGGTAAGACAGTGACTGTTCATAATCTTTCTAGAGAGCCCCACTGTTAAAGATCTGAACTATCACTTCAGTTTTTGAGCAGAAATTAAAATTAGGGGTTTCAGAAATGACCAGAGTGAAAACAACAGTCTAGCCCAACATAATGAAGAACCTGCTGGGTCTCACTCACCATACAGAGCCTGGATGCCTTTGACATCATCCGCATGCAGCCTGAAGTTGGCACGGTAACCGGCATAAACAGGTGCCATCAGAGCACTCTTGAACTGGGAGTGACCCAGGCCGAGGGCGTGGCCTATTTCATGGGCCGCTACGATACGCAGATTAGTCCCATAGTAYGTTCCTTCTGTCCAGAACTCGTCCTCGTCAAAATGGACCATACCAGAATCTGGTGGTTCTGCGTGAGCCAGAACCTGACCTGCAGGGAGCAGACAGASGGAGAGGGAGAGGATCACGTGAACCGGAGGCCGCGCGACAGGTTTCTGTGAAACATCGATGAATGTGTTTCAGAAAGCAAACAAACCACGGCCATCAAACGGGACGGAGCAGTAGCCGTCCTTTTTATGAAACAAGATTCTTATGTCTGCTCGGCCGTAGTCCACCTCTCTGAAGGTCAGGGCCGCCACGTCGCTCCAGTACTGGAAGGCAGAACGGATGGCCGACCTGACCTCTGACTTCAACATGTCAGGCGTGTAGTTGTAGATGCGATAGGTGAGGCTCTTTTTTCTCCACCGACCTTAGAGGAAGAAAAAAAAAGTCATTCAATGTTCTTTGTTAGGGGGGTCCTCGTTTCAGTTTTTGTTTCAGAGTTGCATCAAGCACTCAGCTGTGCCTCATTAGTAATCAGCACACCTGTTTTCAATCAGTAATCACCCTGCCCTGTAAGGCGCTTTCAAACAAAATAGTTAAAAGAATTCTTTTCATTTTTTATGGGGACTGTTAGTCCTACTGTGGTGCAGTTTTAAAGGACCTACATGTTTGTTTTCTGACTGCCAAAGGAACCCTGTGATTGTGAAACACACGGACGACCATCAGTGGCCAAATCACTCAGACAGGTAAGATTCACCATCAACAACTGAGGATGCTACAGCTGTACGTTGTGGGGTTCTGTTTTAATTTAAAGTAGTTTGATTGAGGGCTACATGCATTGAGAAGAACAATTTGAGGTTATTTTTTGTTTTTTGTTTAGTTTTTGCTTGTAGATCGTTATTGTTTAAATTTAATTTTTGAGAAAAAAGGCGCAGATATTATACGATTTTTTTCTTCTTTCTGTCACCTTTCATTTTATTTGTGAT